GCTCCGTTCCCTCTCTCTCTCTCTCTCTCTCTGTGTCTTCCTCCCTCACTCTACCTCCTTAAGCGACCATCTCTGTGGAGACACTTAATGAAGCCTCAACTATGTCGCCAACTGTCACGGGTATGTAAATCAGATTATATCATTCCTACTGTATGGTTACAATATCGCAGAGATTTCTATTCACACCGTTACATGGAGGCTGGATTCATCCGGGCGCTCTGATGTTTTCGTTGCTATGCTGACTCCGGTGGTAACCAGGGAGCTTGTTGGCAATCGCCCATGCCCTTGTCTTATGAATGTTTACTACTCCGCAGAAAACTTTCCTCCGCACACGAGCAACCGCAGCGCAAACGTCATGAACTGCTCAGACAACGAGAGCTGAAGATGCTTCTGCTTCACACTTTTGTTATTTAACCTTTGTTGATTCAGGAAGTCTGTTAGAAGCACAGAACAGTACCAACTTTTTAGCTTTCATTACTTTTGTGTTTCTTAATTTTCCCTGATTTACTGAAAATGTACCAAAGTGAGACCCTAAGGTCAAACTGAGGGATGGATTTAGTATTTCAGTAACATCCTTACTACATGATGAGCGATGATGGTTACATCATTGACAGTTTGGAGGCAGACCAGGCACTGAGGAGGTTGTTTGTAGAAAAACCACAATAAAAGAATCAATAACAATGGTCACTATCTGTTTAAACCTTTGGGTATGAATTGACTCTGACTTGTTCAAAAGAGAAGCATCATCCTTTCTGTCCCAGGGAACAACCCCCCCGAGGAAACTGCGCCCTCCTCGTCTTCCTCTAAACGTCTAGGAATGAGCCGCACTGCCAACGGTGGGATTTATGTAATCCACCAAGCTTTACCAAGACCCTGCTTGTCATCTCTGGTTGAAGTCTGACCTGTGACGGTGACTAACCCAGGAGGAGGATGAAGATTTGTGCATCATGATGATGTGCTTTTGTAGTCTGCTAAACTGACGCAGGGGATACAGATGTCCAGATATACGCCCACCTCTGCTGCTGCTGTGTAGCTCAAGGCGGGAAATAAACTGAGACAGATAATGGAAATTAAGAGGTAGAAAAACACAGCAAAGCAGATTCCACCATTAAATTAATAACAAGAATGGCACTCAGCAGAGTGCATACCTCTGCCAAGGCCCTAAAATTCAATCAAGCTGCAGCAAATTTCACGCACTCATAGAAATCAGTTCCCTAAATGTGTCTGATTTTTTTTCAAGAAGATTAAGAATTATTCTCTGTCTCACAATTTTTAAATTCCTGGATCCGCACCAAAAATGTAATGAGTTCTCCACTGACTCAAACAAAATCCTTCCGCAAAGATTTGTGGGAATTCATCCTGTAGTTTAACAAACAAACCGACAAAAGGACAGGGTTGAAAACAAAACCTCCTTGGTGGAGGGCAAAAAAGGAAATATTAAAAAGATATGCAGCCCAACAAGAAAGACGAAACGAAGGACATGACAGGGTTTGTTTTTGCAAAGTTGTGGACTGACAATATAAACTGAAAAAGAGGACTCATATCCTGAATGCCTCGTTCTAATAAATGATAACATCCTCTGCATGTACTAAGAAATGAATAGAAAGCAAGAGAACAGGAAATCCTTTTTTCAAAAACAGCAGACATTGAGCTTTTGAAAGTGTCCTAGAAATAAAAGAAATCTGCAAAATTACACAGCAGGATAACAAGAATTTCAACTTCAAACAATCGGGAGACACGTCGAGGGAGAATCTAAAGAAAAAAAAATAATACCCTTGAGCCCGTGAAACCACAATGCATGTTCACTTTAGAAATGGTACATAAACATGCAGCCTTGAAGCAGCAAATAAAAATAGAACAATTTGCAGAAGAAGAAAAATAATTGTGAAGACAATAAAATCTTTTAAAATATACAATTCTGACCTCGTTCTCTGAATACTAGTGTGAAACATTCCCAAATGAGTCGAGCCTTGGGGCCGTCTCAGACACTGCCAGTCAGTTGATAAAGTATAGCACGTCTCCCTGGCTGTTATATAATGCTGAGAGATTAGAGGTGGACGAGCCTGTGAGTAGAAGACAGTCATTGTGTGGCATACCTGAAGGCCACGCATGCGTTATGGTCGTATGAGGTCGTCTCTGTCGGTCGACAGAGGCTGATTTCATTTATTAATTCAATCTTACTGGTTAGTGGTTTAACGTGGGGATTTTGCCGTTCCTCACAGAGAGGCTAGTGTTTATCTGCAGCTTGAGGTTCACAACAGACGAGAGGAAGAGGCCAACTTAATCCTTTTTCTTCCACTTGGTTTACGTGGGCATATCTCTGAGTGGAAGGAGGCTCAGGAGGTTGGTACGAAAATAATTCCGCTTCCAGGTTGTTGTTGTCGAAATGCTAGAAATACCTGTTTGTGTTTCTCATGGGGAAATTTAATTACTACTCTGGTATTGAAACAACAGTAGTTGTGAAAATCACATAACACCAGTGTAGCGCTGATCATCCCAAAAAAAAAAAAAAAACTCAGCGACTTATCATCGTCCAGGTGCCGAGATACCTTCTCAGGCACGTCCCGAACATGTGAGGACTTCTTGCGTATTTTCTCCAAATGCCGGATGTGGTTCACAGCAAAACAGATATTGAAAATGATTCACCACTGATTCACCACAGTTTTAATGTCTTATCTGTCGAATGTGTGACAAACATGCATATCTACACCACTTCCTGTATCTATTTCAAAGCTTCAACATGTTTCTGTTGACTGAATCCCATCATCGACAAGGTTTTATTGTTGTTGTTGTACGGCTGCGTGATGCACAGCTTCATACCACAGTCCTGGCACATCGGCCGACACCAGCAGACACTGCTTGAAAGATTTCGTCCAACTAAGACGGAGAAGTTTGGAGACACAGCGAGAAAAAAAAGAGCCTTTTTGAAACTCCACGAACAGCTGTGATGGAAACACATTATGCATTCTAACAGTTCCACCTCATCGTCGCTACAAGAAATCCCTGCTCCTCTTTTTCACCAGTGTTGCTAGTATTTTCTGTAACTAAGCAACCAACTGCAGAGTAGACAAATCTACTTCCTGTTTACACAGGAAGGTGAATGGTCAAATGATTTATATTTCAGGTGTGAGATCATTACTGATGCGGAGCTAAAGTCCTCCTGTGGCCGGAGATTGTTTTGGTTTTAAAACTGCATTTTAAATCAAAAGTAGCTGAAGACGATATGAGCATCGACTCCTCTCTCCAGCAAAAGCAGCACACATACACAACATCAGCAGTGAACTGACTCAGCTCTATGTTATGTTTCATAATGTTCAGTATGTCTCAGCAGGAACACATCACCGTGCAGGAGCAGCAGACAGTGTTTAGCACCAAGCAGTGAAGTCCGTTATCGACTGAGTTTCTAATTCAGGACGGCCCAGCGCTGCTGTAAGCAAACTGCCCCCAATGACGCGACTGTGCGGGGCTAAAATCAGACTTCCAGTGGACCTGCTGGAGCGTCGGTCAGGAGCACCAGACTGCGATTGTGCTGGGGAGGTGTAAAATGTGTGGAGCCGTGTGAATGTGAAGTGAACGTGTGAAAGTGAAGCGGCGAGGTGCTGATAGAGACAGAACGTGTGCCGGCTCGGCCGCAGATAAATACAGCGCAACCATAAAAATAAACCACGACGAGAACTGAGAGTACATTCTGTCTGTTGGTTTACACACAGCACTTACTGCTCACTACCGCTCAGTGTGCGATTACACAACTGCTGCTAACCCACATTAGATATCATTTAAAAACACAACGTTGATTTCATTTCCATGAATCCAGTCCACCTCCACCTGAGAAGGAATCAGGAAGTGGTTTTCCTCTCAAACTCAGACGCCAGGTGGAGGATATGTCTGGTTTCTGTCTGGCAGCATTCCTGTCATCAGCACTTAACCGCGTCCAACTCATACCACACGCTGCCTGGTTCACTTTGATCTGAATCAGGATATGCCAAAAGATATGAAGTGTGATATGTCACTGGGCCACTCCGCTTCACAACACACTGGTATTCCTTAAAAAGCTCGGTGAAATGAAAAATACACTTTCCCTGTTTTAATCCTGTGTCCCTGTTCATTTATCTTGGATCTATTTTTACATCTAAATCTGTCCTTTCTCTTCCTGTGAAACGCTTTGAGGACTCATCCTGCACTCAGGAGTGTTTACTTAATCTGATTTTTTGAATTTTTAACTCCCTCCCCGTGAAAACGAATTCTGACAGTTGCAGCAACCGGCGCTCAGGGACCTTCGCTGTCCCATTCATCGGTTGCAGCCCTCATCATAACTTGCCCTGTTTAGCTCCGAGCTACAGTGAACTCTGTGGCAGTGACGTGTATTCAGGGCTATTGGCTGCTGCACACAACAATAAATATCATGACACGTCCCTCTATAGCTTCATACTTTTACCAGATGCGTCAATATGACTGTTTTAAACCAACAAGTCAGCGTAGATACCGTTCTCGGTTTTTAATAATATCGCATCACAAAGAAGTAAATCTGGGTTAAGCTTTAAAATCTGCCCCTAAATGGTTTGGAAGTTAAAACTAGTTGGTGACATCAATAACACATTTTGTTATGAGAAATATGAATGAATGATGATTTGGTTTATATTGTGCTGGACTGGAATCTGCAGATTAAAGATTCTGATAGGGCATGTGTGCTCCGACACCAGTGATCTTCCTGTCTGGGCACAGAACACACACACACACAGACACCCACAGACACACACACAGACACACAAACAGACGAGCCGGCACAGACACATCAACAGCACTCAGACAACAGAACAAGTCCGACCAGACTCTGGACTGAGAGCAGCAAGAAAAGAACTGACTCAAAGTTTAGCAGCTCAAGTCAGAATTTTCATAATCGCAGAAAGTTGCTGCAGTAGCTTGATGTTATTGTTTCGGTTGTCACCCTTCAGTCTCACACAGGATCAACCCCAACATTCACACACTTGCTCCCCTCTTACCCTTGAGCAGTGGCAAGGGCGTGAGCTCTATGGGTTTGCCCTGAGAGCGGAACTGGGACGAACTCTGCGACCGCTTCTGCTTGGCCTTCCTGACAGACTTCCGTGAAAATCCGTCCACTTTGTCCACAGATGGAGATGTGGTGGCTGCCGAGGACATAGCCCTGCTGGGAGAAAGACACAGAGGAGGGACAATCACATTAGACATGCGTTCAGCGAGCTCTCAGGTCACTGGGGGCAGAGTGATTAACCACAGAGCATTGATTTACAGAATTAATCTGGACTTCAGCTTATATATTTTATAATTTCTTTGATGTGTTTAATTTGAACATTCAATATTGTATTTATGTAAAACTAAAATGCAAAACATGAGTTTATCTTTTGAACTAGATTCCAATTTAAAGGATGTCCAAAATAAAATAAATATAAGTATCTACCAATATGGAGCTTTCACAGAAACATTGGTATCTGCACACAGAGGAATAAGACGTTCTTAAATGTCTTTAAAGACAAAAATCTTATTTTACAAGAAGACTGATAAATAATTATTATTAAAACCTAATGTTAAATGATTCTTCTTCAAAGCTGAACCCAAACATTTAACTTTTCTTGGCTGCATTTGATTCAAGTTCAAATTCAAGCACAAGAAACCAAATGTTTCCTCATCACCAGAGACACATTCTTCAGCCATTAACATGCAGCTCACAGCCCACAAGTTTATTCTGGGCAGTTACCTCATGAAAAGAAAAGGAATATATATATAAAATGAAAAGAGAGACAGCCAACAACATGCCCAATGACTTCCTTTAAGCTTCCTGCAGCCTTTTATTAAACTCACAACAAACCTGTGCAGCCAAAGCAGACAGACAGGCCTCGGCTCAGACCTGGTTACTGTGCACACACACACACACACCGCCGTCATACCTGCCAATGAACCGGCTCATTCACACACACACAGCAAAAACACAAGCGTCTACCCACAACAATGGAGTTGGCTCGGCCGCTGCCAGCCGTCGCCACAGTGGGAGGAAGCTGAGGAAACGCCGCTGAGTGTTTGCTGGAGATTACGTGTTTCGTTTTTTTTTTAAAACACGTAAAAAGTTCAACAAACTGTTAACAGCAACAATAAGCCGCAGTCGCCCTCACACTTTATTCTGCCGCTCAACTATCGCTCTGCACCACACCCATGAGGAAATGTCTCGTTAATAAAGGTGAAGATTTCTTCGAGGGCACAAAGAACCACACGGTGAACGAGATATTTTATAACCTCAGTGCTTTTCTCACATTCTGCTGTAAACAAGGTGAAGTTCAGTCTGACGTTAACAAGCTGCTGCGTAGATTTAAAATAACAAAAAAAACTTGATGCAGGGTCAGTTTACAACTGTTGTGGAACTTTTGTTCACATCACATGATCTTCTTCAGCAAACTCTCTGCGCTCATTATAATAATAATTCTTTTTTTTCTGAGCAATTAAATGACTTCAAGACCCGTTTTTTTTTTTTAAGCAGAGGTTCAGTCACTCTGTGACCTTGGAAATAGCAGTTGAGGACAAAATCTTACTGTAAATCTGCTTTGGTCACTGTTAAGAGAATTCTAATTCAATATTACCTGGTCTTTTCTTGTTATTGATAATTATTTAACATTAAGTTTTGTGTTAAACTGTTAAATATCAAGACCCAAATATATTTCTTTCAAATCCAGTCCTCACAAACTGTGGACATGAAGACATGAAGTAGAGCTCCAACAACAATCATTGCATAATAATAATGTGAATGAGACGCTGCAGGCCGTGCTCTGTGATGGCTGCTTCTCTAAAGCTCTGTCAAAGTCACACAGTAAGTCCACCAGGCTTTGTGTATGACAGAGTGGACAGACAACAAGACACACTCAGCCTTAAGTCCCCACACACACACACACAACATACCGCTGCCTGAGGACATGGACAGTACTGGCTGACAGTGAAAGCCATTTAGAAGCTAGTGAGGCTGCACAGCTGATCCTCCATCATCACACACTGCAGCTTTACCAGTGATTCATGATTCCAGAGTCCACGTGTGGTTGGAGACCGGCAAGGTGTTGATGCAACATGACTCGTGAGTGGAGGAAGATCATGATCAAGGCCGACAACTGTGATTAATCAATGAGCAGAGTTCCTCAACAATTTCCTCTTAGAAATAATAAATGTGGTTTTAACACATCCGTTCTCAGGGTCACTTGTACATTACCTCGTCTTTGAATGAGACAAATGGAGTCAAACCTATGTATATAAAAAAAAAAAAGTCTTTCAAGATCAAATTATCCTTCGACAAACGTCTGGACTAAGATATTTGATATAGGTTTTCCTCTCTGTAAAGCAGGTGCTTAATAACTTGAGTTATCATTATTATATTGACATTGAGTTTCAGCCAGTTTCACACCGATCAATAATTCTTACACTAAATGTGATAATATATTCTAATGTAATGCTGCAGGAACCATCACAGCGTGTCACCGACTAAAACAATTTTTTCTGATTTAATTGATTAATCTGAAATTTATTTCCTGGCTTATTCCATTATTTTGTCTGTTGATCAATGAGCACTTTCCCATAAAATAAAATAAATGTATGGATGAACTGTTTTGTCGTGAAAATGGAGGAACATTTTGGTTTGTTTCACGCAGCCCAACAACCTAAAAGATATTCAGTGACAGTGAAAGTAGTGAAATGATTCTTTAATCATCAAAACAGTTACCTAACGACATCAAATTCAAAACGACCACTTAAAACATAGGGAATCACTAGTTTCGCATCTAAAAATACAAATATCTCAGCGGATACTTTTCATTGTCCTACCACTATTCCCTACAGATGTGGATTCACATGTGACAATATCAATTACATGAGAGGAGACTCATCTGTCACCACTGCTCACTGTCATCTCGTTCATAGCGAGACATCTGTTAATGATCCATCTGAGTGAAAATGCCTCCTGCTGGGCATCGTCACAACCAGGGCGGAGAACCACCTCCAGCTCAGCGCTGATCTGATCTGTCTTATCGGTGGCTGCTAAGTTTAAATTCCTCAGCAGCCAGTCTGGCAGGTGATTCACCATTAATCTGGAAGTCCTGCTGTGGTGCCGTTTGGCGGTAAAAATAAAACCGTGGCTGAACACAAAGCAGCATGGTGACGGAATAGTAAAGTCTTTTTCAGACTCCGCAGCCAGTTCTCCGGAGTTTACCTGCAGTCTGACTTTGAACACGCACAACAAGACGGGATGCGTTCACAACTGCAACAGATCTGCGTAGATCACGTGATTTTCGGTGTCGGCTCTAATCACGACAAACTCTTGACTTCTGCGTCAGTGTCTTCGGGTGGATCCCCCATCGTCATATCCAATTCTCCTGGATTTCTACGGACTTCAGGCCGGGGGGGGGGGAGAACTTCGGCAGAGACTCCGGAGCATCTCACTGGGACAATTGCTTTCACACGTGTACATCCTCTAGAGGAAATACGGAGTAGCTGCAGAGTTTAGTGCATGTCTGAAGGCAGCTTAAGAGAACAATATTTATTTTTAACTTTGTGTCGTTTCGTGTCTTTCAAACTTTGGCTCAACTCTCTCAAAGTCACACAAACTTGGTCCCAACAGCATCTCGGACTTACCGCGAGCCTGAGTGTACAACAACAACAAAGAACTGCAAATTGACACCTCAGCACCTGCTCTGTGCTGAGCCTCACAGATAATAAACACAGAGCAGAGCATGACCTCTGAAAATGAAAATGCTACTGGCTTAAAGTCGAGCAGCTCTGGTGAACACGCTCCTCGACACCTTGGTGACCAGGAGGTTTTATTTCCGTAAACGTTCCACAATTACAGGAGTCATGACGATAATTAGGAGCAAATGAGGGTTTCTTTTACCTGACTCACACTATTAGCTATATATCCACTTTAAAATCTTCAAGACCCCCAAACAGTATTTGATTAATCACCTAGTCCATTCAGTGTAAAATCAACAACAGATAAATATTCTCTTTTTAGAGTAGAGATGCTGAATATTTGCAGATTCCAATCGCTCTCACATCTGATGCTCTGATGTGACCTTTAACTGTGGGAGCAGCGTTTTAAATACAGTCCTCACATACACGCTGTCCTGATGCAACTTGCAGTCTCTGCCAGGGCGAATAATTACAGCAAATCTGCTTCATTCAGCAACAACCAGCCCGACTGTGCTGCATTTTAGGAAGCATCAGAGAAGTTGTACATCTCAGCAAGCGGCAATTAGCAATGGACTCTGTCTGCTACATCACCAGTGGCAACAACACAACTCAAAGAGCCATCACTGCGTTTGCTCTTTCTGCACCAGGGAAAAAACGGATTAACTACAGACTTCACCTACCTCTGTAAAGGGGCACTGGAATCCCCGTGTACAACCATCAGTGCCTCAGTTTCTGTCTCTCTCCCTGACGAGCCGGCTAATGACGAAAACACTCACAACACGCGAGGGACAGCAAGACTATGGCGGCTGGTCAGGTGTATTGCGCTCAAGCACCAAAGCCATTCCCCGCCCATGCCTCTTACATAAGAGACCAGATGACATCTACACTGGCTCAGGGAGGGTGGGATTAAAGAACAAGGAGGAAGGAGAGAGGAGGGGGCACAGTGAGCAATGGGGAGAGCCACAGAAAGGGAGGAAGAGGAGGGAGGGAGGAAATAGGAACGAGAGAGGGAGCTGCCGTTCAACAGGAAGTCAACACAGGCAACAGCACGGCAGAGCGAGAGGAGCTGAGGAAGAGAGGGAACAAAACGCACACACAAACATGAGCTCAGTGACGGGGGATAAAAAGAGGCTGGAGGGGAGAAAGCTCAAGGATCCCGTCTGTTGTCCAAAGTTAAAATCCAAACCCCTGAGCTCTGCGAAAATCGAACTTTTAACTTAACTACAGGTTTGAATTTCTTCCATCAATGCAACGCTTCATCTAAACTCAGGCATGATCCGATCAAACAGCTTTTAAAACCAGGAAAAAACTACTTTTAAGATACAGCACAAGATCTCTGCTGATATTTAGTCTTATATAATGATGAATATTATATATACAGCTGATGCAAGACATTTGGAGAACTAGAAACATGGAGAATATTATCCCTACATTTTAGGACTGGGTAATATGGCCCAAAAACAATATTGGACTTTTGTTATAATGCAATTGATGAAA